ACCATCCAATTCCTGTCCCTCCCAGACAGGAATTTGAAAAAACTGTGACTATCAGATAAGATGATAGCACAACAATTAGCGTGCATTTAATCAAGAATCAACAAGAGGGGGGAAAGACTTTCAGTACTATCTGCTTTAAAGGCTGTGGTCATGGTTTATTTTGAGAGAAAAAAAACCCCTAATTGTACATAATCTGCCAGCTTTTAAATATATGAGTGTGTAAATATTATATATTATATATATAATTATAATATACATTACTGTAGCCCCCATTACCTTGTGGTTCCCCTAGAATTTTTACTTATTACAAACTTACTGATTGTAAAATATTGTTAAATTATGATGAATTTAAGCAAAAATTAAGAATAAACAATCCAACCAAACAAGTTTTTGAAGACTGAGCTTTAAATGGAAGCAAATAGTCTAGAACATCTCCCTGTGTTACTCACATCACCTCTTTCACTTTTAGTTAACCAGCCTCCTGGTATTAAGAACAGTCTTTAAAAAATTCTTTTGTAAATGTTAGATCATTTTGTTTCAACCTTTTTTTTGAGCAGGGAGGGTACTTACCCTGACTCTCTCCATCTGAGTGCTGAATGGGTACAGCAATTCAAATAGAATCAGGCCTAAGGAAAAGATGTCCACTTTATGAGAATAGCTGTTTCCATGAATCTGAAATCCCATATAAAGAAAATTAAAAAAGTAACATAGACACAGTACAGTTGATATTACAGCATTATTGAATCCCAAAGTTTACTTAGTCACTTCTTGGTTTAAATGCAAGTATATGTGTAACAATGTTAGCAAAGAGTTAATCTCCCAAGTCTCTTTTCTTCACGACTACACCAAGAGTAATTAAACTACTCAGCATTACAGAAGGAAAGCCCAGGTATAGCTCTGAGATATGCATCAGTAAAATAGGCCCCTCAGAAACCTGGAGACTTGCCATGCTAAAAAGTTTGTGGGAGCCAACAAAATCTGCTCAACTACCCCTGAGGTGAGGTTTTTCAAAGGGAAGGCTATCTAAAGCAAATCTCTCATTTCTAATCATCTTAGTCCTCACCCATTTTTATGAGAAAATCTTCATTACTCCCAACCACTAATCAACAGTAGTTAGCCTTCATTACGGCTCTTAATTATGGATACTTTGCATTCTTGGTTGTATTTTTCATGTGCATATTTCTTATTCTTCACAACTAGATTATCAAGTCCTGGAGGGAAAGAAATGCTTCTTTTGTGTTGCTATCATCCAGCACTGGGCTAAGTACAGAGAAGGCCCTCAATAAATACTTATTTGTTAAAATGAACAAATAAATTACAACAGAACTACCTGAGTAAAGAAAGCATTATTTAAATTAAAATTGACCTTTTGGTGACTCAGAAATATTCCTTTATTTGTGAAAATTTCTTTAGGGATATAATTTGACATTTGGGAAACAGCCAAAGAAGGGCACTTTGGAAATGCTCCATACCAGTACTTCTTAACTGGGGAGTAGAGGTGGTCACAGGGCAGTTGTCAGCATTTATGATCCCTTCACAACCTCCCCTCTAAACTGTACTCGGCATCTGTCTCCCTGGCCTTCTGCACAGCCTGCCCACCTCTATGCTTACAGAAGAGAAGATGGAAAGTTTCAGTTACCACATCAGCTGCATCATCCTCTTCCCTTCCCAGTGACTGTAGCAATCTGAACCCCACCTCACCTCTCATCCCTGGGGTTTGGGAAGTGTTAAAAAAAATGTGCAAAAACAACACTTATAGGAGAACTGAAAAGGACACCCCCACACACTATTTGGAGAATATAAATAAACCCAATTTTATGAGAAGCAACTTGGTAATAAATGTTTACTCCTGCTTAATGATCCCATCTAATTTTACCCACCCTCGGGCAGATGAAAATGTGTGCAGAGATTTGGGTATGGGGATAGTTACCCAAGTGATATTCCTGATAGTAAAATTTACAAGTAATTAAAATGTCCCAAATGAATGTCGAATACCATGCAGCTGCAAATATTGTCTAAGAATATTTAATAATATGGGAAATGCTTATATTTTAATATTGTATCTAAAATGTTACAAAATAGAATTCCAATTTTATTTTCTAAAGTAAGGTATAAATATAGACACACACGCAGAAGGAAATAACTGCTGTTAATATTTTAGAGAAATTTTTTGATAAGTGATTTTTACTTTTTTGTTATATGTTCCTATACTTTGCATATTCCCTACATAGAGGACAGACTGATGCATTACTAAATTTATTTATTATTTCTAATATTATTAAATATATTTTAAAAATAAATATAGCCTCATGAACACATGAAAAGTTATATTTACAAAGTATCTAAAAAATAAGGAATTAGAAGGTTTATATCCTTTCTGAGTTTGAACTGATTGTTTAATTGCTGTGCAAATCTAGAACTTAACCTGTGTTTCTTTGTAATTACAACCAAGAACAAAGTAGCCATGGGTCCTGCCCATTTATTCCAAGGATGAGAAAATTAAGAAAGTTCTGGTAATAATTTTAAAACAATGTCATACTATAGCTTCTAAGGCTTGTGTAAGATTGTACAATTCATACAGCTAAACTATTTTGAGCAACTTTTTAAGGAGCACTTTATAAAGTGACAGTTTCTACTCTTAAAGAGGATTAAGAAGAGAATTAAGACTGTCCATTTTCAACTACCAAATTTTAACTATTATACATTGCCATATTTCTACAGCTATCCTAACTTTCTAGTATTTTCAACAATAACAAATATAGCATCAGTTGTCATCAACCTCTTCCTTTCTCAAATGGCAACCCACACACAGCAGCCACAAGCCACACTACAGTCAGCACAGAAGTGTGTATGTGGTGGCCAGTACTACCTGGTGTTTATCTTTTCACTGGCATTCACTTTCACTCATCCACCAAATATTTACGAAACTATGCCATATTCTAGGCATTGTTTCAGATGTTAGAGTAGAAAGAGAGACAAGCTAAGTCCCATTTTGATAGTTTACAGGGGAAGGAAAAAATAATCTCAGAGTTAAAAATGCTGTAAAAAGAAACCAGTGTTAACAGCATGGACCCTGGCAGGGAGTAAAGGGAGAGGCATCCATTTTAAATAGAGCTAGGTGGGAGGGGCTTCCCAAGTTGTGAGCCTTCATTAATAAGCATCCAGACAGAATCCCTTTCATTTGTTTTCGCAGTATTTAAAATGTAAAAGTATTGTTTCCAGCTTCTTAAATAAGTTTTTAAAAACACGATTAAAAACTTTTTTTTTTTTTTTTTGAGGTGGAATTTCACTCTTGTCACCCAGGCTGGAGTGCAATGGCACAATCTTGGCTCACTGCAACTTCCGCCTCCCAGATTCAAGCAATTCTCCTGACTCAGCCTCCGAGTAGCTGGGATTACAGGTGCCAGCCACCATGCCCAGCTAATTTTTATATTTTCAGTAGAGACAGGGTTTCACCATACTGGCCAGGCTGGTGTCTAACTTCTGACCTCAGGTGATCCAGCTGCTTTGGCCTCCCAGACTGCTGGTATTACAGGCATGAGCCACCTCGCCCGGACAAAAATACTTTTTTTTTTTAAAGGGTTCTCGCTCTGTCACCCACGCTGGAGCATGGTGGCATGATCTTGGCTCACTGCAACCTCCACCTCCCAGGCTCAAATGATCCTTTCTACTTCAGTCTCTCAAGTAGCTGGGACCACAGGCATGCACCATCACGCCCAGCTAATTTTTGCGTTTTTGTAGAGACAGAGTTTCACCATGTTGCCCAGGCTGGTATCAAACTCTGAAGCTCAAGCAATCCACCTGTCCCAAAGTACTGGGCTTACAGGCATGAGCCACCAGGCCGAAGCAAAAACGTTTTTTTTGAGACGGAGTTTCACTCATGTTGCCCAGGCTGGAGTGCAATGGCACGATCTCGGCTCACCGCAACCTCCGCCTCCTGGGTTCAGGCAATTCTCCTGCCTCAGCCTCCTGAGTAGCTGGGATTACAGGCACACGCCACCATGCCCAGCTAATTTTTTGTATTTTTAGTAGAGACAGGGTTTCACCATGTTGACCAGGATGGTCTCGATCTCTTGACCTCGTGATCCACCCATCTCGGCCTCCCAAAGTGCTGGGATTACAGGCTTGAGCCACCGCGCCTGGCCAGCAAAAACGTTTTTTAATATCAATTCTGATACATGACTGTGTAGAAAAATTCGAACATATAGGAAAGTCCAAAATAGATTAAAATTCATTCAAAGTCCCCCTACTCAAAAGCAATGCCTGTTGATATTTTATGGCTCTTCTAGTCTTTTTTCCCTATAGATAGAAATATGTATTTATAGTATTTTGATATTTCATACAGTTCTAATTTTTCCTTTCACCAGGCCTTGGCCATATCATTTGAGCAGGATGATTCAATTACCAGGGCCAGTAGATTTATTAATTTTTCTATGTAAGCCAGTTTGGATACTTTTGGTTGCAACCAATTGACTATATATGAAATTCTCTAATAAACAAAAATCTCTTCTGTATCCTTTCTAATTTCTAAATTTATTTGTGATTTCTCCCCCTTAGGTAGGTATCTATGCTAGAGAGGATTATCTTTATTTTAAACTATTAGAAACAACCATGATGATGCTATTTTACTGTTTCACCAGTATCAATTTTTATGTTTGTTTTCCATCTTCTTGGCTCCTCCCTGCCTTCTACTGAGCAGAATTCTAATCACTTATACAGCAATGTGCTTATGTAATGAAGTCCTGTAAAATAAATTTATCTCCAAATGGAACTCTGAAAACTTCCTATAGATGTCACTATTTTTCATTTCTTGCATTTTTAAAAACAGTTTTTTACATTTTCTTCTAAAGATTGGGTTTCACTATTTTGCCCAGGCTGGCCTGGAACCTCTGGGCTCAAGTGATCCTCTCAACTCACGATCCTGAGTAGCTGAGACTGTAGGCTCACACTATGGTGCCCAGCTTCTTTCATCATTTTCTGTTATTTCTTTTCTTTTCTTTTTTTATATGGAACGTTGCATGAATTTGCGTGTCATCCTTGCACAGGGCCGTGCTAATCTTCTCTGTATCGTTCCAATTTCAGTATATGTGCTGCCGAGGCGAGCACTCATCATTTTCTTAATACTTCGTATGAGTATTTTTACTTCATTATTGACCTGTTATTATTTTTTAATAATTATTTTAATATTTTTTTAAATTCTGGGGTACATGTGCAGGATGTGCAGGTTTGTTACATAGGTAACATTAGCTGTTACATAGGTAACATAAGCTATTTATTATGGTGGTTGACCCTTATGTCAAATTACTTATGGTGCCATGGTGGTTTGACTCTTATGTGGCAATTACATTCTTCACTGCCACATGCTCACGGGCAAAACCAAAAAACATTTCACTTAAAATGTCCTTAGCGGTAAAAATTATTAATCTATTAAATCTCAACCTTTACATACACACCTTTTTAATGATCTGACAAAATGGGAAAATATTCATAAAAACATTCACCGCACCTGGCCGACAGATAGTTTCTTAAAGATGAACAATGAGACGGGGCATGGTGGCTCACGCCTGTCATCCCAGCACTGTGGGAGGCTGAGTTCGAGGACTGCTTGTGGCCAGGAGTTTAAACCAGCCGGGGTAACACAGCAGGACCCCATCTCAAAAAAATAAATTAATAAATTTTTTTTAAAGAACAAAAAAAGATGAACAATGTGAGAATGGCTCAAGGAAAACTAACAGTATTTGTTGTCAGTGATAAAAGTTGAGCTTTTAATTGAAAATTAAAATTTTGGAAGATTTGAATCTACCAGTGGGAATTTGATAGCCTCCTAAAATGTAAAGCCTTTTCTGGTGAGATTTGTGGTCATATTAATCAAAGTGACTTTTTATATTATATGAACTGTGACAACTTTTGGAATAGTTGCCAAACTTAGGGAACCAATAGTTTCCAAATGACTAATGCACAATATAAAATCAAGCACAGGTAAAAAGATCCATTCAAAGTACAAAATGGACCAAAGCATGTTAAAAATACCACAGTACAAAACATTCATGAATGGTTTTAGATTTTTAACAGTGTAAATGACTTTTAAGAAACTATCACTAAGTTGTGATATATTATCAAAGAAAAATATCTATAATTACTTGAAATGTAATATTGTTCTTTTTCCAACTACATATCTGTGTGAGGCCAGATTTTCTCCATGTACTTCAACCAAAATAACATATTGCAATGAATTGAACACAAAAGCAGATAGGAGAATGTAGCTCTTTTATAAGTCTGGCTACTAAAGAGATTGGCAAAAATGTAAACAAATGTCACTCTAATTTATTTATTTTTTTTTTGCAGGGGAATTGGTGCTTGTAATTTTTTTTTTTTTTTTTGGTTTAGAAAATACTTTTCATAAAATAAGATGTAATAGGTTTAATTCTGTTATTTTAATTGATTTAATAAAGCTTTATAAATTTCTCCTTTAACTTCTAATGTAATAAATATTGATAGATAAAATTTTGTTAAGAAAACCTTTTGGGTTCTCAGTTATTTCCACAAGTATAAATAGGTACTGAGCGCAAACGTCTGAGACCTGCTGCTCTAAGCATAAGGAAGTTTGTGAAGATCATTTGCCTGGTGGTGGCTGAGCATGCTCACCTGAAGCTTTCAGGATGCCCTGCTCCCACCACTCTTCCAGTCCCTGCCCTGATTATAGTGCTTTTCCTGTGAAGGCCAAGCAGCCCACAAGGCAACAAAGGCCAGCCTGTGTGCCTCTGTTTCCTACTATGGCACATGCTGGAGGCTGCCTATGAATGACCACAGAGGGCAGCTCAGTATAGTGCCTCTGGGTCTAGCTGGCTCTGAAAACAGTTCTGACATAATATACACAAGGCAAACCAGAATTAAGTTTGGGAGGGTGGTATTCAAAGTCTCTTTCCAAATTCCTGGTTGCTGTCCGGTGCTGGTTCAAGGGATGAGTGCATTTTATGTGTAGTATTTTTCTTAATCCATCCCCAATTCAGGTTGTAGAAACTATAGTTTAGCTGTGTCACTGTTCCACTACTGAACACTACTGCTAGTTTTCATAATTTTCAGACTTACTGAGTTTTAGATTACTGGGTTTTTTTATGAAAACATAAGAAGAGATTTCATCAGGTACATCTGCTGCCGTGCTAATAAGTGAAAGTTTAAAACACTCACCTGCTCTGGGCTCATATACAGTTTGGTCCCTACTTGTCCTGTGTGTCTGGCATAAGCTGGCATTGGGGTCAGAACTGTCTGCTCTTCCTCATCCTGGTCCATTGCAGTCACTAATCCAAAGTCTCCAACCTTGACCACATCATCCATTGTAAAGAATATGTTGGATGGCTGGAAAGAATACAACAGACAAAAGTACAGTGGATGTGCATGGAGGAGAAAGAGAATTATTTACATGACTACAAAGAAAAAAATACAATAAACTAGGTATTTTCAAGCATATTTCTCTTTAAAATGGGCTAATATGAAAATAGTGACAATTTTTCTGTGCCAGACAAGTACTGGTGGCAAAGAAAAGGGAAGGGTAGCAAAGAGAATTGGTATTTATTGAACATCTACTTAAACCCTTTGAGATGCACATTCCCTAAGGATCAGGGTATTTAATCCTTAATCTTATTATTCTATATATTCTCCCCAGGCAAGCATCTCTACACTTAGGACTTAAAGCCTTAATAATTATAATGATAACTAATAATAACAAGTTCATAAACAGAACTTGCAACATGCTGGGCTCTGTTCAAAGCAGTTTATTACTACTAACTCATGTACCTCAATCCCATTAGATAGATGAGTACTAACTCCATTTTACAGACATAGAAAGTGAGGCCCAGAAGTTAAACAAATTGCCTAAGGTTACCCAGCTAGCAAGTGTAGAGCAGGGAATCAAACTTGAGCAGTCTGGCTTGTTATCCACTGCCATGTGCCCAGGTTTCAGCATTCAGTAGTTCTTGCTCTATGGTAGCTAATTACTATTTGGTGAATGAATGAAACAGACTGATCTTTTGGTTTGTGTCTGGGAAGAGGAAACAGATTATCAGAAGGGATAAGAGCTCTTACCTACTACTCTATGCTGCCTCTTGTAAAATCAATATGCTCCTAAGACTATTATCTACTCCCAGATCTCTGCCCTGAGTTCTAAACTCATATGAAACTGTTTATTGAATACATCTAACCAGATGTCTCATGGGTTCCTCAGACCCCAAAGTGCCTAGAAATACATCATCTTTCCCTCAGAGTCTACTCTGCCCTGCAGGTAATATGACCATCATTCATAGCCCTTGAAATGAGGAAAAAGAAAGCCATTTAGCTCATGAAATTGAATTTCATTGTGTTTCAAATACTGCCAGAAAATAACATTTCATTCCCAAACTCTAAAATACCATTATACGATTTTGACTTGGAAGCATGAAGTTATTGTATATAAGATCTATGGTAATAATCTAGAGCTCTCCAATAAATAACTTTGTACCAGAGGCAATAATAGACTATCCTGCATTAAATGTCATCTTTCTTCCCCACTCCTATCTTCTGATGGCAGTTGTTATTTACTGAACCCTATAATAGACAAGCTTTTTGGCTCTCTAGTATCTATCTCTGTGCTTCCACCAGAAGTATCTTGACTTTATTTTGGGAACTTCCTTCTTACTGACTGTGCAGCAAAACCCCATGAATAGAGTGAAAGGCATCCATACTCTACAGTTGCTTATGCCAATCCACAGAATCCCACTGCCTTGCTAGAGACTGGGCTTGTTGAGGGATGAGTAGGTGTCCTTAGTTTAAGTAGAATAAAACTTCTGATAAATAGTGGGAGAAAACAATACTTTTCTCTCTACCCTCTAACCCACCACCTCCCAAAGACTTAAATAGAAACAAGAAATGAGGAGGAGAGAAACCAGGTTCTGGCTAAATCACTTCATCTCAGCGAAAGCTTTACCTGAATCCTCAACAGTTTAGTCATATGGGCCAACAGATTTCCTTTTCTGGTTAAGACAGTATAAATGCTTTTGAGTGCAAACAAAATAAAATTCAAAATAAATGGTATGACTATCTAATCTAGAACATTTAGGCATTGTACTATAACAGGTGAAAAAAGCAGATATGGTTCATACCCCATGAAAACCAGAGAATAAATAATCCAGGTGTGATGAGAATAATGAAGGACCAGGTTTCTGTCAAAACACTGTATATCAGAGGAACTGAGAAAAGCTCAGAGGGAAGAAAACAGAAGACTAGAAGTCAGTCTGAAGAGGAAGGAGCCCAAGTCCTGATGACAAAAATGTGACCAAAACATAACAAGGGAAGCAGGCCTAGAAGGTTTAACACTGAGCTCAAAGATTCAGGTCAGAATATAACAAAATGTACAGCTTTTTCAACAAGGAATAAAAATCTTGGCTGTTTTTTTTCGGTTGGGGACACACTAGAAATCTTTAAAAGGAATTGTCTCTTATTTAGAAAGGAATAAAACCTTTCTGATTTCTAGAAAAACTAACAGGGATGTTAACTTTTTTATTAAATTTTTCTGGTGCATAGATAAAGGTAGAAAAATCTTTAGACAACATTGTAGCATTAAATGGATATTTACCAGTATCTCATGTACATTATAAAATCGGCAGAAGAATATTAATTATCAGTGAAAACATAATTCATTGTCTTTCAAGTTGGCATTTGTGTGTATAGCAAGTGTTAAGTACAAGAAGAATGTGTATTTCAGCTAGTTGCTTTCCACCTAGTGATAAGCATTTACTATATTCAAACCTAAATGCTAGTTTCTCTCAAATTAGGGATATGTGGTTTACTGTACACTGTCTTCTCTAATCCAATGAAATAATTTATCTCTGAACTTTTCATTTAGTGGAGAACAATTCTTGGCAATCAGTTTGGGCCTACGTCAAAATCACTGAAGCATAAGGATTATATATAACTAAGTAACAACTATATTGAAAAAATAAGAATTATTTCTAATTCCTATTCTTGTTATCCTAAAGCACTTAAAATATAGTCAAGAATTTGAAAACCTATCACTGATTTTAGAAGAAAACTTGTGTCCAAATAGTTACTTTTGTGCCTGAAACAAGTCTGTGGTTACATAAAACTGAAAAGATTTAAAATGGATCCACATCGATCAAGACTTTAAGCTACTTTCATCAGAAAAGTATTTATACATTCACTACACATCGACTGGTGACTGCTAAGAGTATATGGAATGTAGCAGAGATTACTTAAATACAATTTCCATGTACTTATTTTTAGAAACACTACTAAGGAAATGTCATGTTTTAGTAAGAATCTTAAGTAATTTTGCGTATTACCACAATATTCACTAGAATCCAAGGTTTTAGAACTATAAATAATCATCTGATGAACTGTTTGCTACCTTTCCCCATTCAGCTTCTCACCCCTTCCCCCAAAGTCTAAACAGTTCAGAAATAGAAGCAACAGTGTGAAGATTTGCCCCAGTTCAAGCTGGCTAATGAAGGACCCCAAGCATCTCCTTCCATTTGGATCCCTTTCACCATTTTGCTTCAGAGCCCTGGTGGTATTGGTGTCAGGGTTACTCAAAACCATAGGGGGAAAACAAACAAACAAACAAACAAAAACCACTGGCTATATCTCCTCATGGCGGATTGTACCTAAATATTTTTTCTTTTTTTTTCCTCACCTGGACTACTGGGAATACCTTTTACAGCAAAATGAAAGCAAACACATTACCAAAGAGAATGAATGAATGCATGGTTTGCCTAAAGTTTTCAGACATAAGACTTCTTATTCTTTTTTTTTTTTTTTTTGAGACAGGGTTTCGCTCTTGTTACCCAGGCTAGAGTGCAATGGCGCGATCTCGGCTCACCGCAACCTCCGCCTCCTGGGTTCAGGCAATTCTTCCTGCCTCAGCCTCCTGAGTAGCTGGGATTACAGGCACGCACCACCATGCCCAGCTAATTTTTTGTATTTTTAGTAGAGACAGGGTTTCACCATGTTGACCAGGATGGTCTCGATCTGTTGACCTCGTGATCCACCCGCCTCGGCCTCCCAAAGTGCTGGGATTACAGGCTTGAGCCACCGCGCCCGGCCCAAGACTTCTTATTCTTGCAGTACGACTCTTCAAGGCTACTTTCTCGGACCTCTGCTCTTAGATGCTTTTACTCTCCCCGACTCTTAAGGGCCCTTCAGAGTACTGTAAGTACTGCTCTGAATCACAAAACATCAGATTGAAATCAAAGGGTGATGCTCCACAAATACAGACCTTCAGGTCCCTATGCATCAGTCCTTTACTGTGAAGAAACTCCACCGCCTCTGCAATCTGCAGGAAGATGTGCAGACACATGCCCCTCTCTCTCTCCTCTAGGGTACATCGTCTATTCATCCAGTCTTTGAGGTTTTCTTTTCTGCACAGCTGCATCTGAATGTAAAGATACACCTTTGGTGAACTGGGCTGGAGTTTTTCTGTGGTGTTTTTAGTGAGATCTAAACTTAAAGTGGTTGGTCTTGGAGGAGAAATAGACAACGTAGCTTCAGAAGACGATCTGCTACTGGTGGGCTTGAAAGCAGTGAGTTTATTAGCACAATGGTTGCCAATATGCAATCGATTTGTTTTGGGCTCTTCTTTACTTGAAGCATTATCACAGCCAGAGTCTTCAAATACTATCGAAGAGGAGGTTCTCTCCCTTGACCTTACATAAGAAGCTTCAGAAGGACAAAGTTCAAAGGAGTGCCCCTCATCATTGCCATCCATAGTACCATCTTCCACATCACAGTCTGTAAGGCAACTGTCCTGGAGGTTGTACGCTGCATCCACTGACACACTGACGTCTTCATGGTCCATTCCTGAGAATTCCAGTGGTGAGAACTCATTCTCAGATGAACTTGTCTGGCCACAGGAAATCCCTACTGAAAAAGACCTGCTTCTTTGTGGTGAAGGAGCTATGATTTCAATATGTTCTTTTGTAGAGAAAGGATCCATTCTGCGTATTTTAACTGATGGTGCATCCATTGGACTAGGGGAGCTGAGTGGCCAGTCTGTACTAAAAGTGGGAGAAATACAAAGGGTAAGAGTGAATATATATTGATTAAAGTACCTGAACTGAACCCTCTGTTTAAAGAGCTTCAACTATAATAAAGCCACTTACCAAATGACAAACAACAAAACAACATACAAACTAAATAAAAACATACAATGTGTGATAGAGAACATCATATTCCATTCATTCCTTCTAAAAAAGCTTTAATTTTAAAGCTTAATTTTATACATGAAACAGTTACCTGGGACTGTCTGGGGCTGTCACAGCAGCCAAAGCCTTTTATGTAAAGCAAGGACAGAATTCCTCAATGGCTGTGATTCTGAAGCCCTAATCCAAATTAGGGCAGCACCTCAAAAGGCCTTGAGATAAGCAGCCATTTCACTTGGACCTTCCATGGTTTAGTTATTGGCTGAGTCTATAATAAGCACCACTTTAATAAGGTACCTCACATGGATCTAATGTTGCTTAGGTATCTGTAGGTAGGAGTTTTACTCCAGTTGTTTGGTGGCAGTTTACCTATACATGCTTCCTCCTTATTCTTCTTTAATAGTCTTTTTTTCTTTCTTTCTTTTTTTTTTTTTTTTTTTTTTTAATTACCAAAAAAAAAAAGTGTTTTTTTTTGGCTTTTTTTTATATTTTTTTTTTTTTTTTTTTTTTTTTTGTT